GAGCCAGCATGGGGAAAACTTTGGCCCCCTCATGACTCGTGGACTTCAACTCCCAGAATTCCTGAGCCAGCATGGGGGAACTTTGGCCCCTTCATGACTCGTGGACTTCAACTCCCAGAATTCCTGAGCCATCATGGGGGAACTATGGCCCCTTCATGACACGTGGACTTCAACCCCCAGAATTCCTGAGCCAGCATGGGGGAACTATGGCCCCTTCATGACACGTGGACTTCAACCCCCAGAATTCCTGAGCCAGCATGGGGGAACTATGGCCCCTTCATGACTGGTGGACTTCAACTCCCAGAATTCCTGAGCCAGCACGGCTCAGCTTGGAAACCTCTCCCTTTCCCCTCAGCGTGGCTGGCTCAGGAATTCTGGGAATTGAAGTCCACCAGTCATAAGAGAGCCGAGGTTGCCTACCCCTGGCCCAGGCCGATTGGGCAGGGGGAAAAAAAAACCCTAACTGTTCTTAGAATTTGCACCCAGGGCACAGAAAGAAACATGGTGTCACCAAAACCTGAAGCCAGAATGGTAGTCCGGAGGTGGCTTTTAGGGGGTCCAAAGTAGCAGGGCTACCTACTTGGGAGTTCCAGTAGCAGAGGTTCCCCAAAAGAAGAGCTTTTCAGACATAAGCACGCTGGAGTTTTATTATTCTGCTGGACTTTCAGAGCATTTTTCCCCCTTCATTCTTTTTTTTGGGGGGTGGGAGGCAAATTCCTCTTATGATTCTCATAAGAGGGCTCCTTGGTGCCCTCTGAGCTGGGTTGTTTTCTTGCAGACATTTCATTACCCACCTAGGTAACATCATCAGTGCTAGAAGGGAGAAGGGTTTGTGGAGGAGGAGGAGGAGGAGGAGGAGGAGGAGGACTGTAGGATCCTTGGTGCCCTCTGAACTTGGTGGTTTTCTTGCAGAAATTTGATTACTCAGCTACGTAACATCATCAGTGCTAGAAGGAAGAGGGGTTTGTGGAGAAGAGGAAGAGGAGGAGGAAGAGGAAGAGGAAGAGAAGAAGGAGGAGGAGGAGGAGGAGGACTGTAGGACCCTTGGTGCTCTCTGAGCTGGGTGGTTTTCTTGCAGACATTTTGTTACCCAACTAGGTAACACTATCAGTGCTAGAAGGGAGAAGGGTTTGTGGAGAGGAGGAGGAGGAGGAGGAGGAGGAGGAGGAGGGGGAGGAGGAGGACAACGACGACGACTGTGGTGTCCTGGATGCCCTCTGAACTTGGTGGTTTTCTTGCAGAAATCTGATTACTCAGCTACGTAACATCATCAGTGCTAGAAGGGAGAAGGGTTTGTGGAGAAGAGGAGGAGGAGGAGGAGGAGGGGGAGGGGAAGGGAGGGAGGGAGGAAAGGAGGAGGAAGAGGAGGAGGACTGTGGGGTCCTTGGTTCTCTCTGAGCTTGATGGTTTTCTGGCAGAAATTTGATTACTCAACTAGGTAGCCTCCTCAGTGTTGGAAGAGGCAACTCCACTCCCTTCTGGAACTGATGGCGTTGCCTAGTCAGCTCATGAAATGTCTGCAAGGAAGCCGGCAAGCTCAGAGAGCAACATGGACCCCTCCTGTCAACCCTGAGCTATGAAAATTCTCCTTTCTTGGAAAAGAGGAGTTGAGGAACAAGAAAGGGAATAAATGCACCGTCTTCTCGGGGATGCTGGATTCGAAGTCCCACCACCCCAGGGAGAGATTCCCAGGGAACAGAGAAAAGACCTTCCATCACTTACCTGCTGTCTGACACCAGGTGGCCCCCCAGGGAAGAGCCTGTAATGGAAAAAGCGGTGGCCACGATCCCGTTCCAGAAGCCGAGCTTCTGGGGAGAGAAGCTGTGATCTAGAAGGAAGAGGGGGAACATGGAAACCGACCCCTGTTCACCTGCGGAGAGAACTCAGGTTTAGTTCCGGGCGATGCAC